GCGCCCTGGCAGGGCCAGGCCCCGACCTCTTACTCCAGGGAGGCGGCTGCCGGGCTTCGAAGGCGCAGCCGCCAACCCGGCCCCTTCCCCGGCCTCCTCCCCCTGCAGCGATTACACCGTGGACTTCCGCCCGCCCTCCCCCATCAACCTGCGGCGCAGCATCGAGGAGGCCCTCTGCAGCGAGGCCCTGCTGGCGCCCGGCCTCTTCCAGGGCCCTGCCTTCGGGGAAGCCCTGCCTGGGCTCGGCCTCTTTCGCACCATCTCGCTGGGAGCGCAGACCCGGGCCGGGCCCAATGGGAGGTCTGAGGAGGCCCCTGGCTCCCCCGTGCCCCCCGAGCTCCCCTCTCCCGGAGCCTGGCCCGCGGGCAGCAGCGCCTCATCAGGCTCGCTGTGCGGACTGTCGCGGGACAGCTCGTCCATGCTGCTTTGCTCCAGCCCGGACAGGCCGCCACGCTGTCCGCTGGTCTGCGTCCTCAGTCCCCCTCGGCCCTCAGGAAGCAGCCCTAGCCTCCCGGCCTCAGGATCCTACCAGGCCTTGTCCCCACCCTCCCGCGACTCCCCGGAGCCTGCTCCTGAGCTGCAGGCCGAAGAGGCCTTGCTACAGGAGCAATTCCTGGACGCCTGCCGACAGATTGACGAGCTGAGCGTGGGCAGCGACACCATAGACCTGTGAAGACGTGGCCCCCTGGCCGCCCCGACCATACGCCCCCTTCTGGCGCCTGTTCTGTCCGAGACCTGCACACTGTAACCCTTCCCCAATCCTGCCTGGCTCAGATACCTCTCCCGGCTTCCTTTCCCATCCAGGGGCCCCTGGATGGGTGGGTCAGCAGCCAGGCTCTGGTGATTGGGAACTAGTGCCACCTTCTCTGGAGCCCTGGGCGCTGATGCCCTCAGCTGCAATTCTAGGCTGGTAGGGGGTCCCACTTTCCTTGGCATTCACCAGCAATAAAGCTCCAAGGTGCTCCATTCCTGACCACCTCTTCCCACTCTGGTGCTGAGTGAGAGGGGCTGTCCTCAGAAGACCTCGGGACCAGCCTCAGTCCCCATCCCCACCTCTGCTATGCCCAGGAATCCCATCCCTGCGCGAGTGAGACTCCGTGCCCTCCACATGATCCTTCCCCATAGAAGGGTCCATGGCCCATCTAGGAGACTCTACAGCAGTTGGGTGGGAGGTGAGCGCTTTCAGAGTTAATTTATCAATAAAATATTTTCAGAGGAGAAAGGTCTGCTCTTCTTGGAAAAACTTAGATGAGGCCGCAGCAGCAGATGTTTTGTCAAAACGAAAAGAAGCAGCGTTTGGGTGGGGTGGGTTCAACTCAGACCCCTGTGACCTTCACTCCTGACTGCAAGAGGTCTTGTCCTCTACATGACCCTTCCCTGTAGGAGGATCCATGGCCCATTTGGGCTGAATGAGGGTCCTGGGAGTAGCCCCTTGAAGACCCTGCTGACTCCCCAGGAAGTGGCTTTTCAGAGAAGGACCATGGCTCTGAGAGGTGAAACTCTATAGTTATTGGTGGAAATGTCTGCATTCCTAGGAACTGGGCTTCAGGTCCTGATGGACAACTGGCTAGGGACTAAATTAGTGATAAAGTCCTTCATGTAAATGTTGCTCTACATCTCAAAGGCTTGATCACCTTGAGCTGGAATCCCCAGCAATCTTCCTGCCATGTACCCAGAGGAATTCACAGAGGACTTTGGATTCACAGAGAAAACTACCCACTCCTTCTACCAACAGGGCCTCTTCAAGATTGGACTCACAGTCCTCTTCTCCTGCAGAACGTTCATCTCGCATAGGCACAAACCCTCCCTAGAGGAAGCCTGTATTCCCCAAACCCCAGCCCCATCCTACCCACTAAAGCAGAACTCACAGTGCAGAGACCCATGAATACATCCGGCCCCTAGACACTCTGTAATCCCTCCCTTGTCCAGAGAATTTGGCTCTGAGCTCTATAGTGTGTGTTTGTCATTTGCCTAAAGTGCAGTAAGTTCAGAGTGGCACTAAACAGCGTCCTAGATTAGGTTTAAAAATGCAGTTCTGGCAGTGTTTTGGCAGATGTCCTGCACATCACAGGGAGGCCTACAGGGGCACACATACTAGGCTTGAAGTGGAAAAACAGCAATAGGAATGGGTTTTCTTCCAACTCCACCCATCAGCTTGTGGGGATTTGAGAAGGGAGGCAAGGGAGCCCAGAGGGAAGCAGGCAGGAAAGCCAGGAGTGGGTGGGGCCTTCACTAGACTAGGTCTAATCACTAGTGGAAGAATTAAGGCACTGCTCTCCTGGTCCATGAAATCTGTCTTGGCCAAGAGGAGTGTCCAGGGCCTGGAACCTGAGAAGGAGGTGGGAGCCAGTGATGTTTGGGGTGAGTGAGGGTCATAGTAGGGAAGAACATGAGAGGAGGGTGGGGCAGGCATAGCAGAAGGATGGAACTGGACTGGTTCTAACTGTGTCTCCTCCATCACCTGGCTCAGCTTGGCTCAGAAATTCTTGCTGCATTGTCGCTCTGGGCTGAGGCCCAAGAACTGCCAGCCTCCTCCTTATAGGCATTGCTCACTGGTGTCATAGTGGCTGTAGTGGCCCTAGCATTGGAGCTGCTTTGTGTCATGGAAGGAAGGCTCACTGCTTTGAGAAATTGCTTCCTTTCTTCCCCGCTCACCCTTCTCTCTGCCTCTGCTCACACTCAAGTCCTCTCTGCCTTCTGTTCCTCATCCTAATCCTTGCCAGCTGCTCTCATTCATTCACTCTCCCCAGAGGTTCAGGCACACAGCTCCCAGCAAAGCAGTCCAAGCCCCACATACCCCCAGTCAGTCTCTCTGAATGTCTGTGTGCCTCTATCTCTCTCTTCCTCTCTTCCTCTCTGTCTCTGTCTCTGTCTCTGTCTCTCTCTCTCACACACACACACACACACACACACCCCTTTTCTGTTTGGAAGCTCTGAATGGGGCTTGGTGAGATGGGGAGGAAGGTGCAGGAATACAGCTTGCTGTTCAATAGCTCCAATACTTCTTTGATTTTCCTCAGCAAGAACTACCTCAGCCCTTTGACTTTATCAAGAGGTCAGGACTTTGGTTAGACAACACTTTCCTTTTGTCTCATGCCCCAGCCCTTCCTTAACCAAAGCAATTTCCCAGAGGAACCCAGGTAGATCCTAATACACACACCGTCAGTGTAGGAGTCTGAAAGACAAACTCACCCTCATTCATTCAGGCTCTTTGAAACATTTTATTGGATGCTCACATTGTGCTAGGTGCTGGGGTGGAGAGGTGAACAAGGTGGACAACAGCCCTGAACTTATGATGTTGAAGGTTTTTGAGGGAAGGCAGACATTAAAGAGCAAATCATATAGATGATTATAATAGCACAAATCATTAACTGCAGTTGTGAGAAGTGCTAAGAACAAGGAGCTTGTGGTATTATAAGAAGGTTGGCTTGTAAGCGGGAGTGGAGCCAGGGGGGTGGGGCTTGGAAGACGCTGGCTGAGCACAGCCCAGGCCTCTCTCTACTTCCTTTCCAGGCTCCTGCACAGTGATGGATGAGGGAGAAGCCAGCAGTTTATTTCCCCTGGAAGCCACTTTGCTGGTGTGGTGCAGGGTACCACAACTCCTGCTATTTAATAAAGAACACTGCATGTGTCCTGAGTAGATGGATGAGCAAATATTCGCGATCGAAGAACCATGTGGCCTCTCTAATATGAAAGGATAGGAGGGGATGGGGCTGAGGCTGAGGCTGGGAGACTGAGATGGGGAGCCAGGTCTGAAAGTTGGGGAGAGTAGAAATGGTCAGCTGCATTTTTATCCTCCCCTGGGGCACAGAATTCATCAGGACCGTGGGTGGCTGCTGCCCTCTAATGGGCACAGGGACAGTTTCTTTTATCCTTTAAGGAAGGTTTGGGTTCAGAGTATTTCCAACTTAGCATTTAGGGGGTGTCCCAAAGGGATGTTGGAACAGCCTTCTCAGGATTCTCTCCCCAACCCGTGCACACCACAGCCAGGACTGGGAAGCCCTTCCCATAGCTAGGGCCCTGAAGCTAGCAATTTAGACTTTGGGTATGGAATTTTGATTTCTAAGGTAGTGAGGGGGCAGGAAAGGAGGAGAAAAAAGAGAGAGGAATGTGGAATCACAAACCAACTTTATTCGAATGACCCATCCCGTTTCTTTTGTCTCTTTGTCTCTCTGTGTCCTGGATAGAATTAACCCATGGCCTTAAAAATCTGTTTTGTATTTCAATACTTCCTCTGCTGAGTTATGTGTTCAAAAATAACTTTAGTGTTTTCTTTTAAGCATATATTACTTGGAGCTAGGGCTTCATAAATCTGATGTTAAGCATTCTCCATTTTCTGCCATCACTATCAACCAATCATCCATCCATCCAAAGTTACTGAAAGTAGATGGGGTTTGAGGAGAAAGGGAAACACTTTTCACTGTACCTTTTGTACTTTTTGATTTTTCTATCTACCATGTGTTCAGGTTATATCCTTTAAAAGTAATTATTAAAAACAGTGCACTGAGTACTTTGGTTCTGTACAAATGTTCTGTAGGGTGCTGCAGTCTTGCACACAGGTCAGTTCCTGGGCCCAATGAGATGGCAGACTCTTCTGTGTTCCAGAGTTCAGGATCCAGGAGCACCCCAGATCTCCTGGCCAGTGAGATTCCTCAGCCTTAAGTCTGCCTATAAAGCTGACCTGAGGAAAGATCTTCTGTCTCTGGAAGGACCTAGGTTCTAGATCTGTATGCAAAAGCTGGATGTCATCTTTGTTCTGAGTGAGTTCTCATGTGATTTTGCAGAGTGCAGGCTATGATTTATTTGTAAGTTTTTTGGATTACTGTCTGTCTACCCACCCTCTCCACCAATAGACTGTATTCTCCATGAGGACAGGGAACCTGTCTTTTTTTAGCTTACTAATTTTATCCCTAGTACCTGGCACATAGTAGGAGCTCAGTAAATATTATTTTGAAAGAATGATTGTGTATGATCTGTATTTATATACTTTTGTAGCTACAATTTGTCTGCGAAGTATTAAAGGCACAGTTATAGATATCTGTTATCATGTGACAGATTTCTCATATTCTCTAAGAATATGAGAATTGTCCGCATGATGTATGTGATGTACTTGTCTTTACGTGCGTTCTGGGTGTGTTTTGTGCATATAATCTGGGAGTCTGTGGTGGCACTGCAGAAAATATTTATTAAACATCTATTGTATGTTAGATCCTGGGTTAGGTCCAGAACAAGAACAACTTCTCCTGCCTTCCCTAGTGAATTTGGGATCTACCTCCGGGAGGTGAGATTTTAAGCAGGATAGGAACTCGCTACGTCAAATTTCCCTGAAGAGGCAAGGGGGTGGTACTTGGATGAGGGGTGGAGGCCCGCTAGAGAAGCTCCGCCTCCGGGCGTTGCGACTTTTTCATTCCGGAATAGTTTTTCCGTTTCCACCACGTTTCCCTCCGGACTCTTTTGAGTGACGAGCACTTCCGGAAGCTCCCGGCAGATTGGCGTGGTCCGCTAGGTAAAGTCGGTACTTGGACTCACGTGCGGTAGCCTTGGCCCCGCGCGCCCCCATTTCTCGGCCTCATGGCTGGGCTGACCCTGTTTGTGGGCCGCCTGCCGCCCTCGGCCCGCAGTGAGCAACTGGAGGAGCTGTTCAGTCAGGTGGGGCCGGTGAAGCAGTGCTTCGTGGTGACTGAGAAAGGTAGGGGGCGGGGCGGTTGAGGCTAGGGTTGGGGTTCCTGGGAGCCGGGTGGGGGGCGAGAACACTCTACGAAACTTCAGCGAGCCATATAATTCTTTACCTGCCCGTAAGTGAAAGGACTTTGGAGCTGAGTTTATTTTCCAGATTGACTGAGATGAATCCGTAAGAGTCCGTTTCTGAAAGTCGAATCAGCCCCTTAAGTTGTATAGCGCTTTCCGTTTACTCTGTACGCTCACATATAAGATCTTATTTGGCAGTAAATAACTAACTTTTAATAAGACGTCAGTAAGGCTTATTGAAAGTCAACTGATTGCCAGATGCGGTGCTGAGTTCCACATCTTATCTCATTTAATTTTCCCATCAGTTTTGTTGGGTGGAGAGTTAACCCCATTTTACAGGTGAGGAATCTAGGTCTTTGGGAAACTTAGTAACTTTAGCTCAAGTTCGTGCAGCTAGTAAGTAGCAGATTCAGAATTTGATCACCAGACCTGGAACTCTTAACCAGTATGTTATTCACACACCCAGTTACTTATTGAATGCCTACTACTTGTCAGGCACTAATGTAGGTCTGGTGGGTATAGCAGTGCACAGAATCAAACCCAAAAACCTTGCTTTTGTCTTTAAGATGGGGAAGACAGCCAATAAATAAATAACCAAAATGTATAGTGATAATGGTGATAAATGCTGAGGAGAGAAATAAATCAGGGAAGAAGGGTAGGAAGTTTCTGTGTGTGGCGGTGGTGGGGAAGCTGTAGAGGGATGAGGAGTGTTCTTATTTTCTGAGAGGTGAGTGGGCAGGCTTTTATGAGGAGGAGTTCCACAAGAAAAGAAACAGATCTCCGTATCACAGTATGCTTTCGTAGTGCCGAGTGTCAGCTTTAACCAGTTTATGTGAATCAGCGTCCTGTGTTAGAGGGCTTGTACCCTAAACCAGGTTAGAGTGTAGTTGTACAAGGAGAGCATGTGAGTTCTGTTTTTTCTTTGGGTTGTAGGCAGGCTATTTGGTCTATCCTTTTCTTTTTTGATGCAGTAAATTACTTAAAACTTTACTACACTGAAGTATTTTTTTAAAAGCCTACCAAAAAGAGCAAAGGTGGGTTACAGTTGATATTTGCAACTGTTCATCTCAAATGATACATTTGGAAAAAAGGGATGATGATATTCCCTTCTCCCTCCTTGGTGTGTTCTAATAAAATGAGAGAAGAGATTTACAACCCCTTTGGAAAGGTTAATTTGATATTGATTTCTAAGGCTTGTTAATAGTGATAATAGTATCTGCAGGCTTCTGATGTGGCTTAATTATTTCATTGTAATTTTTGAAGCTACCATACTTACCTTTCCTACCTTCTCTGATGATGTTCTGTTCTCTTTGATGTTGAGTCCTTCTTTGGGGGTGTAATGCATATCATGGGTCCTCCATATTCTTGAGATTATCAAGGAAGGAGGAAGAAAGGGAGTTAACAGCAAAGACACCACATAAAGAGGAAGCCTCACAATTTCTGAGCAAAGTGGGGAAGGGGTCACTCATGCCAACCATGTTTCTTTCTGTCTTGAGAATTTTGGCAAATGGTAATTGACTGTATATCTGCTAGTTTAGGGCTGTGAGAATTTACTTGTTTAGGGATCTTGGCTTACTGTTATCCCCCCACCCCATCCTCATACTGTTCCAGGGAGTAAGGCATGTCGAGGCTTTGGCTATGTCACTTTTTCTATGCTGGAAGACGTTCAGAGGGCTCTAAAGGAGATTACCACCTTTGAAGGCTGCAAGATCAATGTGACTGTTGCCAAAAAAAAACTAAGGAACAAGTCAAAGAAAAGGGGAAAAATGGTGAGTTTCTAGTAACTGAAAGGGTTTTCCCCCACAATTGAGCGGGAGGGTGAGTGGCACTGGGGGTAACTTCTAGACTTAAAGCTTCCAGAATTTCCTTTTTTTAAAAAAATTGATTTAGTATTTTTTTCAATTGAAGTATAGTCAATTTACAATGTGTCAGTTTCTGGTGTACAGCATAGTGTTTCAGCCAAATTTCCTTTTGATGTCCAAAATCATCCAGTGTATTTTGTTACTCGCTTTAGACTTCTGTTTACTTCTAAGTCTGAAAAATCTGGTGTTCCTTGTTATTGTCATACTTAACCTATGACAAATGCCATCTGTTGCTAGTAGCTTCTTTCCTGTGATGTTCTGGGCCTAGAGGGGTATAGACTTATTTCATTGCCTCTTTTTTTTTTTTAGAAAAATCAGAGTCCCCAAAGAAAGAGCTGAAACCAAAGAAAGCCAAAGTTGCAGATAAGAAAGCCAGATTAATTATTCGGAATCTAAGCTTTAAGGTAAGTTACAGAGAAAACCAACAGGTCATACATGTTCTGAAGGCTATTGGAGCGAAGGCATGCTCATTTGTGGAATTCCTCACCAGGATGGTATAATTGGGCTTAATTCCTTTTGGGAATGAATCTTAGCCTTGTTGAATTCAGAAAATGGGCCTGTATAAACAAGAACTTATTAAGGAGAGAAAGTGTGAAGACGCTTTCCTATTGGAGAAACTACTGCTGAGGAAGGGAGGGGAGGAAAAGCTCTCTGATGTCTGTCCTATTTGCCTTTTAGATACAAAGCAAGATGTCTTCTATTCTAAAATGTTTGATGTCCTAGTCTCAAAATTTAAAAAGGAATAAAAATATTTAAGCTCTTCCTAATGAACTAATTTAGTACTTGATGTTTCGTGTTTGTTTGCTGTGATAATATCTCTTTTTGTTTTTTCTTCACTTTTGAATTCAGTGTTCAGAAGATGACTTGAGGACAATATTTGCTCAATTTGGAGCTGTCCTGGAAGTAAACATTCCTAGGAAACCAGGTACTGCAAACCTTTATTTTATGTGGATTAGATTGTTTTGCATAAGGATCTTTTTTCCCCCTAACATATTTGAACTAAGCACCATTTGAAATAGAAATACAAGGTTCACGTCATACTCTGTGAGTCCCAGATGATGTGATATATGTAAAGCATCAGGCACAGTGCTTGACAAGTAATAAAAACTCAAATAATAGTGTTTAGTCCCTTGATGGTATTTTTAGTTAGATCAGAACTACTTTTAGAAAATGAGTTACAGTTTGAGAAAACGCATTGCCCTGCCCAAGCTTGAGTCAGGGTAACCTCAGCGGGATATAGGCTATTGCTTTGGGCAAGGGGCTGGCTGGTTGGCAGGATTTGGGCTACCTTGCCAGCTCAGGTTGCTGTAATGTCCTTCTTAGTGTCTGTTGGCTCCCAACCTGCTACCTCTAACTTCTTTGTACTTTTGCACACAGATGGAAAAATGCGTGGTTTTGCTTTTGTTCAGTTCAAAAACCTCCTAGAAGCAGGAAAAGCTCTCAAAAGCATGAACATGAAAGAGATAAAAGGTAACTTTTCTATACCCATACCATGTCTGGTGTTTAGGCAGAGTAGCACAATAACCCACTTCCTGCATTTTCAAAAAGTGTTTGCCTTGTTGAGAGTCTCACTGCTATAAATAGAAGATGTTTTGGTGAACCTAGCATTTAATCTTAGGGTTAAACTTGAAAGGACACATGCCATCCTCTTCTTTTCTTTTCTTTTCTTTTTTTTTGGTGGTGAGTGTCCTTTTAAATCCCTAATGAAAAACCGTTCCTGATATAAAAAACATGCAGGTTGCTGTCGAGGGAATATGGGATTTGGAGTTTCCTCCTTCTTGGTTATGGTCACTATTCAGCTCCTGTGGGCTACTAAACTGACTGTGAGGTTACTTTGGGTCCTGATTTACCAGGTACTGTGCCTAAACAAGGAATTGGCTTCGAGATTTCCTAACTTCTGAGTAGTGTACAGATTATTCCAGAATGTCTGTTTTGCTTCTTGCTAGTATAACTGGAAACTTGATCTAACTGAAAGCACTGTTCTAAGTCTTTATTCTTTTTACTAATCTTATCCCAAGTGTGGTGACTGTGTAGAAAGGCAAAACTTCTGTTCATTGATAAAAAAAAAAGTTAAGGGTTAAAGGAATAGGCACCTACTAGTTTTATTTTAGGACCAGCATTCTCTTTATCTTCAGTTTCTTTGTCTCCATTACTGTTTTTGATGAATAGGAAGTCATTTACAGGAGTTAAGAATGTTAAAGAGAAGAAGGCCCTTCTCATGCTGCTTTTCTGTATGACAGGGCGGACGGTGGCTGTGGATTGGGCTGTGGCAAAGGATAAATATAAAAATACACAGTCTGCCTCTGCCCCAGGTAAGATGTGGTGATGTTGGGTAGGAGGGGTTGTATGTCCTGGGGTGAGTGAGTGTGGAAACAATCCTGCCTACAATAAAAGTATAGGAGAACTTGCTTGTTTGTGAGGATATTGGGCTGGAGATACTAAAAGCACAAGATTAACCAAAAGATTGAGACTGAGGAGTAAGAAAACTCTGAATTCCTGTTGGGTCAGATATAAGTGCAGAACTGCTTGGCAGTTTGTATTGTACCATCTGGTGATCTGGTCCCAAAGCATAGGATCTTTTGAATCTAAGCCCGCTCCTGGGTGTGGATATGGGTGAGGAGTAGGGCCTGAGTTCATTATCCCCTCTACTTGCTGTCCTTTCCAGCTTTCATAATAAGGAGTGATGAAACATTAAAAATAGGGAAACTTAAATTTTGAGTTTTATTTAGAGAATGATTAGCTTTAAGCCACCAGGAGCTCAGAGAACAGAATTCACAGAGGTTGAAGTTCATGGCTGGGCTCTAGAGCGAACATTGTGCTGGCTGTGGTGCATGATGATATACTGTTTGTGGAGGATCACTTGCTACTTAATCTCGTTCTGAGCCTGGTTAACCTTCAGGCTTCTGACAAATGGGACAGCCTATAAGGGAATCTCAGTGATGAAGGGTTTCTGTTTGTTTTTTGCCTTTTCCCCCCATGCTTTCTCCTATTATGTACAGTAAGAAAAATATATGAGATTTTAACTCAATAAAATAAAATTTTTAAAAAACGTGAGATTTCGTCAAACCAAAGGAACTAGAAACTTGAGGTATTACTCTTATTTAAATAACCTAGCTTTGGATACTAAATGAATTCCTAACTTTCTTTATCTCCTGTCTAGGTGAGGAGAAGAGGCCTGAACCTAAATGTCAGGAATTAGGTCAAGAGAATAGGAGGGAAGAGGAGGAGGAAGAGGAGGAGGAGGATGAAGATGAAGATGGAGATGAAGAAGAGGAGGAGGAGGAGAATAAAGAATCAAAGGTGACCAAGCCTGTGCAAATTCAGAAGAGGTAAGTGGCTCAGTGTGTCCCTGAGAGGAAAAATAATGTCTTTCCCTGCCTCCATCATTGTGGAATTGACATGTGCGGTGAAGTTGGATAGGCCCCCTTCTCAACTCAGGATCCTTAGTTCTGATCTGTGCCATTGCAGGGCAGTCAAGAGGGCAGCACCTGCGGAAAGCAGTGAAGAGGAGCATTCCGATGACGACAGCAATCTGGAGGAAGGAGATAGTGTTGGCAGTGGAGAGGAGCTGGCTCAGAGTGATACCAGCACTGAAGAGCAAGAGGATGAAGGTTTGCCCAGGATCTTCGTAGACACCTTTACATTTAAAATGAGTTACTGAGAAATGTGCATCAGTTCAGCTCAAGCTTCTTTTTTAAATAGGACTCTAAGGTGTTTTGTCATATTTATGCTTTTAAATGCTGAAAATGAAACCTTTATATTCCTTTCTTCTAAAGGTTAGTTTTTGTTTTTTAAATGAGTTTGGAGGAATGTTTGAGGTTTAAGATTCTTAGGGAGCTTAAAACCTAGTTTGATTCTGAGGTACTGCTGCTCTCTCTGAAATTATCCAGATTGAATGACTGGATAAACAGGATATTGCATCCTGACACCAAAGTGGATTCTGTTTAATTTAATTAATTTAATTTATTCATTTCTGTACTAAAATTACATTTTATTAAATGTAGCAAACTCAAGAGGGACAGTTAAGAAAACAACTGTATTTTTCCATCCATGCTATTGTCTATAAATAACAGATTACATGGAGTAGATTTGAAAGCCCAAAGATGGTGTTTTTTCCCCTCAATGATTAGAAGTATTATTTTAAGTGTGTCTGTAAGTGTTAACAAACCCCAGAACATCAGCTTAGTGTAGTCTACTCAAAATCAGAGGTACATAAATCACTGGCACCTTCCAGGATGGAGACTGGCAACAGCAATAAAGTAATCCATTATTTTAACAACAAACACTGAACTTAGAATTTCTCATCTTGAAAAGCTCAGTTCTCTTGAGCAGTCTTCTCTGCCTTTTATTGCATGGGCTTAGGAGTCAAATACTCTGGGTTCAAGTCCTGGCTTTTCCAATTCTAGCTTTGTGGTGCTGATCAAGTCCTTACCTCTGGTATCCACATTACTTCATCTGTGATCAGATGTTAGAGGTCCTCATCTCCTGACATTTAGGAGAGTATCTTGCAAACAGTAAGCCCTCAACATTATTAGTTGCCTTTGTTGCTACTATTCTTATTTTTGTGCCACCCTCCTCCAGTAGTCTTCTAAAAAATGTGTGAGTCTCATCAAGTTAGATGCAAGATGGTTGCTGATAAAACTCTTTTAGTGATCACTGCAGTGGAGGTGGAGGCACTCTTGAGTTCTGCTGACTAGAATGTAATCTTGGTATTCCATTGCTCCATTCAGTTCAGCAAAACAAGCCCCCTCTTCTCATTCATTTAAAAGCAACATTTATTGAATACCTACTAATGTTAAGCTCTGGGCTGAAGTGAAAAAAAATCCTTATCCTCCAGGAGCTTTTGATCTGGCCCCATGACTTTCACTCACAAAGAATTGGCGAGAAAGCAAAGAACAGGAAAAACACATTTCAGAGGTTTTTTTTTTTTTTTTTTAATGTAGATGAACTAATTTGGACCAGATTAATGGACACTTTTCTGTGCACACTCTTCTCATGCTGTGTGTAAACACCCGTTGTGTGTTTGCCCTTTGGAAAGATTGGAGTAGATGCTTCGTGTGACAGTGATTTGTGAACTTGTCATGAGAGAAAATGTACTTTTACTATTACTACACCTTTATTTATTCAGACAACAAATATTCCAAGTACCTGCAGTGCTAGATACTGGGTGAACAGGAGTGAATAAGAGAAAATAAAACCCCACATTTCTTAGAGATCACATGCTTAGCTTATTTGGCATAGGTGTTCAAATCCTGTCTCTGTTCCTTTCTTGAAGTATGACTTTGGGCAAATTACTTTAGCCTCTTTATTATTATCAGTTTCTTCATTTGTAAAATGGGGCTAATAACCACATAGGATTGTTGTGAAGATTAAGTGACTTGTACAACTAATGATTTATATTACTAATATCATTGTTACTATTCCATGCCCATGGTGGAATATAAACAGTTTTGGATAAAGGACCTCCTGGGGTATTTTGTAAAACTGTAACCAAACCATATTGCAACCTTTATCAAGAATGCTGGGTGTAAAGTCAACTCGTTTATTGAGGGAGACAGGTCATTACAGAATGAGTAGTGATCAGTAAGTGATCCTTTACTTGTCTGGGTGGAGGTTTTTATTCACTGATCAGATCTCCCTTCTTCCTTTCCTGTAAGTCTGGCACGTTGATTTGACCATATTAGAAATCAGAAGAAATAATTTTTTTCTGTGAAGAAAGAATGGTAGACATTTTAGAAGCAAAGAAGCTTTTGTATTGAAGGAACTGTAAGACCTTGCATTGTACAGCCAGATTCAGCTGTCTCTTTCCGTTCTTTCACTTGAAAAAATTATAGGACTGATACATAATAATGAGAGAAAATTAATGGAAGATACAGTGCAGAAGAGTGTAATATAGAAAGTAAAAGTTTCTCACCAATCCTCCTAATAGTTCCCCAAAGTAACCTCTGTTATTTTTGTATCCTTTCAGAAATTTTGTGTGTATATATAAGCATATGTGTCTATTCTTAAAAACAGTGAGTCTCCTTTAAACCCAGATCCTCAGCCACTTGGGTCCCATTCCCAGAGACAATGAATGTTTCTAAGGGTATTTAATGCCTTCATGAGCAAAAACATACACACACACACACACACACACACACACACACACACACGCACACACACTCGTAGACAATATAATGTATATTTGTGTATGGAATGTATATGTATTTTTTTCCTTCTCAAATGTTCTGCATGTTTTATATTTCCAGAAAGCTTATACTGTCCCAGCACCATATGGGAATCTCTTTATTCCCCACACCCTTCCCACAATGAATTTCATTTATCCTTTTTGGTTTTTGCCAATCTGTTGGTGAAAAATGGTATCCCATTTCTTATATGTTTTCCTTTAATTATGTGTGTGAGTTTGAGCATCTTTTCATGTATTTAGCTGCATATCCTTTGTTCATTTTTAATTGGATTTTTTTTCTTACTAATTTATGTAAGATCTTTATATATTTAAAAAGTTAGGCCTTTGTCGTAAGGCTTGCACTGGTGTTTTTCAGCTTGTTTTTCTTTTTACTTCAGACAGGCAAGTCTCAAAGAAGAAAAGGAAACTACCCTCTGATGTGAATGAAGGGAAAACTGTCTTTATAAGGTATGACTTTCTACCTTGAGAACTGTTGTTATATTGTCTTCATAGGTTTCTCTTTTCTTCTCTTCTTCCTTCCTTTTTTCCTTCCTTTTTTCTTCTTTCTTTCTTTTTCTTCTTTTTCCCCTAACTAATTCTGTTAGCAAGGCCAAAAAGTTAGATGCGTCTAAGATTGTTAGCACATCTGCCCTAGGAACATATCACACAATGAGAAATGTAGGAGAGTCAGAACTATATACAGAAGATAAATAGCAGGAGTCTTAATGTCTTGTCCTTATCTAGATTTCATTCTTTGTAATTGGGATCTCATCATTTGGAACAAGTTAGTTCTTCAACTATTAGAAACATCTTGCTTCTGCCCTTTCTTTCAGGTTAAGTGCTGGGGAGGGGTGATACCACTTGTCCCAAGTGATTTTTGTCTTCATGCCTAACTTATCTTCCAAGCTAGTGTCCAGAGTAAAGTGAGGCATCCCATCTGTTACCTGGAAAACAGAGGGAGGGAGGGAGGTTTTGTTCCATGTTGCCATTGCTGTTTTAGCCCTACTGACTGCAGTACAGGTTGGTGTTTTCAGGATGTGGGGACATCTTTGGTATGCCTCAAGCGTGCCTTCTGTCCTTTCTTATGTACCTTTGTGCCTGGCCATTTGGATCTTATTTTAGAGATGTGTATTTTATCTTCATGTACAGTCTTTTAAGATTGTTTTCATTATATAAGTAAATTTATGTTTATTGTGGGAAATTTAGGAAAGAAGTGGGCATAAAGACACACACACACACACACACGAATCTTAATCACTACTCAGGGGACACTCACACATGCCTATATCAGATATTTACAAAGATGAGTTTAGCCTCTACATGCTGTGCTGTAGCTCATTTTCTTTCTTTATAGCATGTCTCTCTGTACTTTTACTGTGTTATTTGGAATTTCCATGTAAGTAATTTTGTATTTGTAGAGGATTCTGTCTAACAGGAAAGCAGGAATGTCACACTTAGAAGCCTGTGACCTCAATGCCAAGGATACCACTCTTTATAAATCTTTTAATTAAAAAGAAACTTAGAGGGGGAGGGGATAGCTCAGTGATAGAGCATGTGCTCAACATGGACGAGGTCCTGGGTTCAATCCCCAGTACCTCCATTAAAAAATAAATAAATAAACCTAATTACTTCCCTCTTCCAAAAAGAAACTTAGAAAAGTAAAGGGATGGAAGAGAGAAAACTATGTACATGATAAGGCAAATTAAAAGAAACAGTGTAGGCAGGTTATGTCTTACTGTAGAACATCTCTTTTATTTTGGTTGCTCCATAGGATAGACTTGTTTATGGGTTTGTTAACTGAGCATAAGAGAAGTAACATTGTAGATATTTTCTTGGGACTGTTTTTCTTACCCCTGGAAGGCTGTGCATAGCTGGGAAATGAGGAATCTTTACACAGTGTTGAAATTTAGTAGAACAAAATCTTCCAACATTTTTTAATCCCATGGAGAGAAATAGTAGTTTTTTCTCTCTATCTTTTTTTTTTTTTTTGCATTTAGTAAACTTTACCATGTTTGGTTGTTATTTTGAAGGATTTTCTGACTTTTGTAAAATTTTAACTGGAACCTGGATTTCATAGCAGCGCAGAGGAGAAAATGGCTGATCAAGAGAGAGAGACATTTTTCTCAGCCATCTGTGAGTCTTTTGGTTATAGTAAGGGAAACTAATTTTGGCCAATTTAAGTGAAAAAGCAGGTTTGTTGGATGAACAATAGGGTGGCTCACAGAATCAGAGTTGTCAAAGAGCAAACGTCAAGAAGGGGATGAAAATTTGGATGGTTCTGGGACCCTTGTTTCAGAAGGCTGTGGGTCTTTGAAGACATCCCTTTTTTTTTTCCTTCTTAAGGTATACCATATAGTCTGTAAAGTGCATTAACCGAAGTGTACAACTCAGTGAAACTTTTCTATATATATAACCATCTCTGTACATATACTTTATATATGGATATGTGTGTGTGTGTGTGTGTGTGTGTATAATCATCACCCAGATCAAGATACCGAACATTCTCAGCTCCTCATAAGTTTCCCTCAGGTGGGACACTGCTGTTTTGAAGTGAATCTGCATCTACAACTTTGGTAACTGTGTATGTCTGTTCAAGTTTTAAATTCCTGGGAGAGATAATCTGATTAATAATCTGATTAATAGAGGAAATTCTGTCAATTATGGCCAAGGGGCAGATGTCATACGTTGGAGACCTGGCCACTGGGGCCACCCCAGTTGCCACCTCTGAACAAGGAAGGGTGGTCATGAGCAGGGGAACCACTCTGACTGACTCCCTCCCCTTGTGCAGTAACACGGGATCTCACTTTTGTAATTGACCTTTCTTGTGACTTGATTGTCTTTCATAGAAACCTGTCCTTTGACTCAGAGGAAGAAGACCTTGGAGAGCTCCTCCAGCAGTTTGGAGATCTTAAATATGTCCGCATTGTCTTGCATCCAGACACAGAGCATTCTAAAGGTATTTACTGTCAGCTGCTCAGTCCCTAAAAGGGTTGAGATCACTGCCATGTGCACTGACTAGGTTCCGTGAGAGCATGATGTGTGCCACTCTGAGGAGTCCACAGTCCATCCAGCGCAGGTTTCTGTGGTCCATAAAAGCACCAAGGACATTCTGAGGTTGTCTTCCATGATGTCAAACTCAGCATCTGTAATGGTGCTGCCAGCTGTAATTTTGTCTAAGCTTTTTAAGCTCTTGCTTATTTATTTTACGGTAATGAATTCCATTTATTGTTCTTTGAATTTCAAATGTGATAGCGTCTCATGGGTATTAATCATTCCACATTGCTTGAAATTACTGGGATATTTTTCAGTTGCTTTTGTTAGAGGTGGAAGCTGACTAAGTTTGTTGCAGTGGCAACAGCGAGAAGGAAAAGGAAGCTATGTAGCAGGAGTGCTGTCTTAGGTTTTTTTTTTCTTCCCTTCCCTAAATGTATTTCTTTTGAACTTAAAGGTTGACCACTCCTCATTATAGTATACTGTTGTTAGATAAGCATCTTTGCAACCCATTTGTAATCTCTGATTTTATCAACTGCAGTCATTCTCCTAAAGCAGTGGATTCTTAATTCATTCTGGCTCTTGATTCTTTTGAGATCTAGTGGAAGCTGTGAATCCTCTCAGAAAAATGCCATTTATAAGGGTTGTGGACTCCCTGGAGCCCATCCATGGATTAATTACCTCCATTCTAAACCTTCTTATTTTCCAGATTGATGAAACCTGATCATCTTTGGTTTTTACTTGGCTGAAAAAGATGTAAATGAGGCAGTATAATGGAAAGAAAACTGAATTGCTTTCTGGAGATTAGGGATCTAATCCCAGCTAAACCATAGACCAGCAGGGTGATTTTTGGCAAAATTTATTTAACCACTGTGGGCTTCAGCTTCTCATTTGTAAAATGAGTAGGTTCAACTAGAGTAATCACTTAAGGTGCCTTCAGCTATGATATTCAGTTATACTCCTTGGACCTTCTCTATTTCCAGTATGCTTTTCTAAAAATGGGCAACTAAAATTGCATAGAATGTTCCAGCTACTGTAGGATATTGCTTTATTTTGAAATCTTTTGTCCCTTTCAGGGTGCAGTAGTGTATTGGGTTGACATTTTCAGAATGGAGTCTGCAGTTGACTTGCTCAATCTCTTTCTTGGTCTATTAATGTTAGCTGAGAGCTAATGATCTTAATAAGCTTAGTTTTCATTATTTTTTTCATAATGCATTGTCTTTTCTTAGCTCCTATTGAGTTTTTCTGGCACTTTTTCTTCCTACTTACACAGTCTTGGCCTCCTCCTCCACTTTATCCCTGTCAGCATGCTATTTCACTGCCTGCAAGGGCTAAGTATTATCTGAAGACTTTTAGGGATTTGTTAAGATTGAAGCCAGTATTAACCCTGGAAATTCCAATAATGAAATTCTTACACATTCGGAGAGAAGTACTCATTTTCTTCATGTTGAATGAATAGGCTAATTTGCCTGTTAGAAACATTTTCCCCCCATATTTCTTTCTTTATTGTTTCTTTCTATTGAGTGTCTGTTAATGCTGGGCGTTATAGTAGGTGCTACAGACGTAGAAACAGGCAAGAAACATAGCCTTTATTCCTGAGGGATTCACGTCTTTTGGGGAAGATGCCACCTGACCAGTGCTGTAATAGAGATGTGAGTGGAGGACTGGCAGTGTGGGGCACTTCGCTCTGCCTGAAGAAGGCAGGGGAGACCTCACTAGATGGTGACCCTTGGGTTGGCCTGCCACATGTGTCCTTTCAGTTAGCCTGCTGCCATATTCTTAGCGGGGACAAAAGATCAATGCCACAGTAGCTCTAGGAAATATGGCATTGTTTTCAGATATGAGGGAATATTTAAAATTTAAAGGAATACTAACAGAATATTATGACAATTTATTTTTGGAGTTTACTGTAAGGTGAACTTTTTTTCTTTGCTTATAAAATCTGCTTTTATCAATAGCAGAAAATTAGGATGGGCTAATTGGCCCTGCCTCTAACCAGTGAAAGGTGTGCCTGTGGAAATTCTAGAGCGTGAGTCAAGGGTTGAGCTCATGGCTTTCTGATTCACTGCTATATTCGTGGGATAGAGGCCAGGGACTTTTACTCCAAGAGGTAGATCTGCTCTTATCTGATGCCTCCCAAGTGACTATGACAACAGTGAGATCTGTATTAATTTCAGGGTTAAGTGGTTGTTGCCTTATTTTTTAGTCCTCTAATAGGCATGCAATAAGTGATGCTGAATTAAACATTAGCCTGGAATTTATGTAGTATTTCTTGTGGGCATTTCCTATTAACAAGTGAGGTGGTAAGACTGAAGTTCTGAGATGCATTGGAAAAGCTGAAGGAAGTAATAATAAAATTTCACGGTGAGCATATATGGTAACTTACCTGTCTTTCACCTCCAGTGCCTGACGCAGTGCCTGTTAGTTAAGTCTCATGGTATTTAACAAAAGGATGCTCCTACCCCTTCCACTTTGTGTCAGGCTGCCACCATTTGTAGTGCTGTCTTTGGCTTCCTGGTGGACCACAGGAGTTTGGGACCTCACTTACTTTTGTCTCTCTGTACAGGTTGTGCATTTGCCCAGTTCATGACCCAAGAAGCAGCTCAGAAGTGCCTTGAAGCTGCTTCTCCAGAGACTGAGGTAAGGAAGACATTTCCTTTACCCTGAAACTTAGGCAGTAGTGGCTCCCAGGAGCAACATCTAATGTTTACACAAAGCTTTATTATTATTATTGTCAACGATATAATAATAAAGCTAATACTTATTGAGCACATAGTGTGTGTTAGGCACTGAGCTTTACATGCATTACTTTAGTTAATCCTTACATCAGCCATATAGGTGTATATAAGGTAAGTACAATCATTATCTCTATCTTATAGGTGAGGAAAGAGGTATAATAATCTATTTATGGATCACTCTCTGTATGTCAGTCTCCATCCTAGGCTGATGACGTGAAAGACTGGGACAAGAAGGGATTAAGGCCATCTATGAGGTGGAGTAAATGTTTGAGAGACAAAAGAGTGTGGGTGATGGAGGATTTTTCTGTGTATTCTATAACCAAGTGTTAATTTGTTTTGAGATAAGTTATCCTGTATTGCCATTGTCTCTTAAATTCTCCTCTGTAGAGTTAACACTACCATTTCATTAGCTTTCTTTAGAATACTAAAAATTTGCCTGTTTACAGATCATTTTCCTCAATTGGGGCCTACTTTGGGACTGATCAACTCCCTTAAAATGAATGAATAAGTGGCCTTTTGCACAGCTGTACCCAGTACTGCTGGGCTGAGTGACCCACTTGCAGCCAGCTGGGCTAAAACATCCTGGGGGTTGGGTTCCACAGCATAATTGGGGTTTGCTATTTTCCCTTTCCTTCGTGTTCCTTGTCAGTTGCTTCATTTCTACTCATCATGAATTTTAAGAGAGAGGTTGCAATCTGTTACAGGGTGGTGGGCTTAAACTGGATGGCCGGCAGCTCAAGGTTGACTTGGCGGTGACCCGTGATGAAGCTGCAAAGCTCCGGACAAAGAAGGTGAAGAAGCCTACTGGAACCCGGAACCTCTATCTGGCCCGAGAAGGCTGTGAGTAGTAGTAGGGAGACGGGAATCAGGCTTCTGAGTAGCTGGCCCTTTGCTGCGACAGTGACCCAACAATAGTACGTTTGGGGCATGTTTCAAATTTAAAACCCTCTCTAACGAGTTATGTTACTATTTCACTTGAGCAGGTGTGGCTTTCTGTTAGGAAGCCTTCACCCAGTTTGTGGATTAACCAGTCCCGTTCTCCTTTCTGCCTGCTAGCCTGCTAACCTTTATACCTTTTCGTCCTTCTGATGTTTTCATCAGAGGATTAGAAGGGCAAAGAAGAGGAAAAACTCAGATTACCTTTGCCTCTTGTCATCATTTCTGATAGGTTTTCTGAAGAAGATGAAAATTATGACTAAAATTACTCTTTTGGAATATTCATGGGTTTTAAATGTGCACTGAGTACTTTTCCCTTAATGTCAGAAAGATAATCAAGAATTAGCTTTAATTAAGACAAAAAAAGAACCCCTTCCTCTCGGTCACACAGCAGTGCCACCTGTTGCACAGCTGCACAGCCTAGACTGGTATTGGGAGGCCATTAGCCCTTGATAACCAGGCCTCTATATTGTGATGTGCCTGTTTCCTAGGTTGGCTTATCATTGCTTAGTAATGGCTCCCAAATAAATACATGAGCAGTGAGCTTCCAAGGACAGGTTATATAGGGAGAGCATTACTGCATTCCAGATGCCTAAAATGTACTTATTTCCAGGACTTCTTGGAGGCCTTTCCATCTGGCTTTGGGCATGTACCTGAAACTTTTTGAGGGGAAGAAAGAAGAAGAACAAAATCACAGAATGTTCAGAGTTTTAGTCCTTGAGAGCAGCCCATAGACAAGAACTTAGCCCTGTAGCCTATTTCTGGACCTACCAGATGCCACTGTGTCCTGGCCAGCATAGTCCTCTGGGCCCTGTACAAAGAGCTTGCATCATTCAAATCACATTCCTCTTATTGCTCAGTGAAAATTCCCTTGCTGATGTCTTGGCCTTTTTCCCTCTTTCTGCAGTGATTCGTGCTGGGACGAAGGCTGCAGAGGGTGTGAGTGCTGCTGATATGGCCAAAAGGGAACGAGTGAGTAAATTAGGCACCAGCTTTGAGCTTCTGCATGATTTAATATGAATCAGTAAGTAATAATAGTTGAATGCTAGAGGTACTCATCAAAGAGCCAAGTGTTGGTCACGGTGCTACTTACACTATAGTTAGAAAGACAACACATGGGTGGGACAGCAACTAACCCAGTATGATATGAAGAACTGGGTCTTTTTCTTTATTTTCCTAATCCTTAGCAGTAGCCAAATAGTATGCTTCTCGATCATGGAGTAGACACCTAGTGACTTGAGCTGTATACAGTTAGGTCAGTATAAATGCAGAACAACATAAGGAAGATCAGAGTGGCTGGAGTTAGTAGGAAAGAGGGTGTAGGTGTAGGTCTTTGAAGGGAGAGTTAAGATGTCTGTTTTGGGAGAGCGGGTGGTATCTCCAGATTATAAAACCATTGTAGGAAAATTCCATATTATGAGCGTTTCCGCTGATAACTGATACTGTTGAGTTCCTTTGCTGCTCGGTAATGTTTGTTCCAGTAATTTCTACTTTTGCCCATAGAGCTTACTTTCAAAAAGCTAAGGCTGCCTAGAATGGAAGATGTATAATCATGAACAGAATTAGCTACGGAGCATGAAAGTGCAGAAGATGATGGAGAGAAATTGGAGTATAGTGGCAGCAAGAGGCATTGTGTCTTCTGCGTGTTAGTTTCTAAACGAGCGTTCTCAACTGTTTTCAGTAGTGAGCAGCTAGAAAAATCGTGGTATTTGAGGGCATTGTATGCCCTTTTCTGATCACAATGCAGTAGTGGCACATTGAGCTTTCCCTTAGAATGAATTTCTCCAGCAAAAAGCTCACTAGATTATATGCATTATAACTCACAGCAGGCACTTTTCTTAGGGAGAAAAATTAGACTGTTGAATTTAGGCATGATAGCCTCTTCAAATAGCCCTTTAGTATTAATTTCCAGAGTATTGTTTATTTCATGATTTGTTAGTACCTTTACCAAACAAGAAGCAGCAGGAATGAGACTTGATAAGAGAAAAAAGATTAATTTAAAGCTCTTCTACTGAGGCAATTTTAACAAACAAATCAGGAGAAGAATGTCATCTTTTTACTTTAGAGTCAGTTACCCTGGGACAGGTGCTTTGTGCAGCATAGTTGAGACTCCAGAAGCAGAATTCCTTTCTATGGCCATTGACATTTCTTTGCCTCAAGGTGGCAGAGTTGAGACGAGACAACAGTCTATCAAGTATTCTTTAAATAAATTCTACTTCTTTTAGGAAGGGCTGAATAATTAGTTTGAGTTGGTGGGTAGGTAAGGGCTTGGCATGGATGTTGACCACAGTGTTATTTACTATTTGCTGTAGGCCAGGTTTGAGCTTGGGATTTTATGCATATGACCTCATTTCAGCCTCACATCAGTGCTGAGAGATTGGTATATTTTGATCTACAGTCCTACTCTGTTGGTGAAATTATTGAGGCTTAAAACATTTCATGTAACTTCTTCAGTTAGGGATGGATTTCTGATTCAGTCTGACTCCAGAGCCCATGATCTTGGCACCTATCCACCGTCTTGCTTCTTTGAACCTTTCTCTCCCTGTGCTGGGCATCATAAGGCTGCAGGATGGGTGATTTTCCTCCTTTTTTCTGTATGTGTGGGTATTGGCTAGGAGTCATGGTTCTTTCCTGTTGGGGAATTATGAGCCTGTATTTTTTTTTTTATTATTATTGAAGGTAGTCAGTGTTATATCAATTTCTGGTGTACAGCATAATAGTTCAGTCATACATATACATACATATATTTGTTTTCGTATTCTTTTTCATTATAGGTTATTACAAGATATTGAATATAGTTCCCCATGCTATACAGTATAAACTTGTTGTTTATCTATTTTATATATATAGTTAGTATCTAAAAATTTCGAACTCCCAATTTATCCCTTCCCCCACTCTTTCCCCAGGTCACTCTAAGTTTGTTTTCTATGTCTGTGAGTCTGTTTCTGTTTTGTAAATAAGTTCATTTGTCTTTTTTTTTAGATTGCACATATAAGTGATATCATATAGTATTTGTCTTTCTCTTTCTGGCTAACTTCACTTAGAATGACAATCTCCAGGTCCATCCGTGTTGTTGCAAATGACGTTGTTTTATTTTGGCTGAATAGTATTTCATTGTATAAATATACCACAACTTCTTTATCCTGTCACCTGTCGGTGGACATTTAGGTTGTTTCCATATCTTGGCTATTATAAATAGTGCTGCTGTGAACACTGGGGTGCATGTATCTTTTTGAATTAAAGTTCCCTCTGGATATATGCTCTGGAGTGGGATTGCTGGATTGTATGGTAAGTCTGTTTTTAGTTTTTTTGAGGAATCTCCATACTGTTTTCCATGATGGCTGCACCAAACTACATTCCTACCAATAGCGTAGGAAGGTTTCCTTTTCTCTACACCCTCTCCAGCATTTATCGTTCATGAACTTTTTAATGATGTCCATTCTGACTGGTGTGAGGTGATATACTTCATTGTAGTTTTGATTTGCGTTTCTCTGATAATTAGCACTATTGAGCATTTTTTCATGTACCTATTGTGAGCCTGTGTTTTTAAAGAATGGATTGTATTATTAACAATTTTTATTGTTTCAGTTTGAGCTGCTGAAGCACCAGAAACTCAAGGACCAAAATATCTTTGTCTCCCGGACCAGGCTCTGCCTGCACAATCTCCCAAAGGCTGTGGATGACAAACAGCTCAGAAAGCTGCTACTGAATGCTACTAGAGGGGAGAAGAGGGTGCACATCAAGGAGGTGAGGGTTGGCTCTGCCCACTCAGAGCTTTGGTACTCATTCTGGGTCAGATCGAGTATTTAGTTCAGGCTGTGGTACTAGCAGATGGACAGATTTTCTTTTGGACACATTGTGGGCAGATAAGGCTGAGTTTGGCAGTTTTCATGTTTTGTTTTGATTTTAACTTTTTTTTCTTCAAGCACTGCCTTTTACATCTGACCAAATTGCAGCAGAATGTGATGAATCCTCTGCCCTCATAAATTAATTTAGCAGGCATTTATTGAATACCTGCTGTGTTCTCAGCATTATACCAGGTGCTGTAATGTTAATTTTCTTGCAGAGAAAATCCTCTGTGTGCTTTGCTTTTTGGAATAGCATTTCACTATCATTTAGGCTCTTACCCCACAGTAAGAGTCCTCAGTGCCCCTTGGTGAGCACAGGGAGCTACCCAGGTCCTCAGCAGTTGTGTTAGACAAACTCTGGATCCATACCAAGACCTGGTTAGGCACCGTGAGTACGAAACTTCCCTGCCCCCACAGCACCCTGTGCATCCCTCTGTCATAGCGCGATTACCCTGGCCTGTCACTGTCAGTCACTTCTCCTGACCAGACTGAGCTCTTTGAGAACAGATGTCTTCTCATTGTTCCCAGTTCTTAGCATAGCATGTAGTCATCTCTCAATCAGTGTTTATTGAATAGGTAATAGCCAGTATTGTGAGTCTGCTTTGCTCTGACTCATCGCTGTAACTATTTTCCTACTCCTGGAAAGCCTCTTCGAACGTTATGGTACTGGTGTTCGGGGAACCATAGACGAGAATGTGAACATTACCAGCACATAGCTGACACTATACTTAGTAAAACTGTTCAAAGTGTTATTGGAATAGGGGTCAATTATATAATTTCTCATCAATATCCACAATACTTAGTAAGTGACTCCACATTTAAAACCTGTAATCATTTAGCAATATGTATGTGTGTTTTACAATGTTTGCATTATATGAATTTTCTCTTTAATTCTTTCATTTGTGTGAGTATTGTGTCTCAGTAAGATAGTAAGCCTCTTGAGGATAGGAACCTCTTTTTATGCTTTTTTGATTTCCTTACAATACATGGCACAGAGTAGATACTGGACATATACCAAATGCAGCATCTAAGTGTCCCTAATACCTAGACTTCTCCATTGCATGACAGCTCCAGCCTCCAAGAGTAAAAGCATGTAAACAATCAGTTTTCCCAAAATGTCCTACTGTTCCTCGGTGCCCCAGGGTACCCTTAAGGATTTGGAATCATACCAGAGAGGATCTGAGCTCTAAACAAAGACAGCTGAAGCTTCTTCCTGTAGCTCTGAGGCTGTGTGTTGGGCAGGATCTTCCCCATGTCTGAATTGTCTTTCTTATCTAAAGCCATCAGGACTTCATCCATCCCTTCTTCAGTAATTTTCTTTCTGAGCGGTTTCTCCAATGATGAAATCTGTAGACGGCATTAAAGCCTCAGTGCTAACTTACACAACCTGGAGTACCACGTACTTCTCAACTTGTATGTATTGTCATGTCCACAGTTGACTATCGTAATTTTTCCTCGGGAATTTCATTTTATTTACATGCTTATTTGTAAACCTATGTTGATGTCTGTAAATTCTTAGAAAGCAAGAAAATATCTATTTAACTTCTCTTGTGCTCTCAGTAGACATATCCTAATAAAACAGGCATTCATAAGTGTTATTCCAGTACAACGCTTGGGATGGTGATATAGATGAAGACTCTGTTCCAATAACCTGATTTTTTATTTAAGCTGTTAAGGAGCTTCATCCTGTAATTACTGATTCTTTTTCTTATTCTACTCGTAGTGTCGGGTGATGCGAGACCTTAAAGGAATTTATGGGAAAGTTAAGGGTCAGTCCTTGGGCTACGCCTTTGCAGAGTTCCAGGAGCACGAGCATGCCCTGGCGGCCCTACGACACATCAACAACAATCCAGAAATCTTTGGGCCTCAGAAGGTGAGCCTCCTCCTGTGGGGAGACATGTTCCTCTGAGGGCCATTTGAAGAGAATCCTCTGACATTTGTGTGATCGGTAAGCGAAGCAGGGTGATGGAAGGAGTGAGCAGTGAGTCAGGTGATAAGGTGATTAGAAGGAACTCTAAATTGATAGACTGCTTGCAGAACTGGCCCCTTCCCTTTAAGAAGAGTGAAGTGAGCAGCATCCTCTGACTTGCAGGAAAGAGAGTAGTGACGGGGGGACATCTCAGCTCACTGCACACAGAGATTAAGAAATCTAATGAATGACATTTTGTCTCCTGCTGCAGAGACCAATAGTGGAGTTCTCTTTGGAAGATCGAAGGAAACTTAAAACAAAGGAACTGAGGATCCAGCGCAGCCTGGTACAGAACTGAATGCTTTTTCTGTCTTTGTTGGTGTTATTTTTTTTTTAACTGTAGTGAAATACACATCACATAAACTTTACTATTTTTAATTGTACGGTTCAGTTAAGACTTTTTTAGGCCATAGCTAAACTCCTGTTCTGTTCAGATTGTGGTTCTGCTCCCTTGAAGTAGATCTCTGCCTCATGAGTTTCTTTTGTTACCCTTTACTCTTAGTTCCCTAGAACTCTGCAGGCCATCTCTCCTCTGCTGGCCTGTCTCAGGATAGCTCCACGGAAGGGAGAGGAGGGAGAGAGGACGATCAGACTGATGTAATTACCAATCAGCGGTTCTTGTACTGCAGTGTTTGGTGATGGTACATGTCAAATTCATAGCCAAGATGAAGATTTCAGCTGTCTCTTCTGTAATTCTTTTTTCTTCTTGGATGACTCCAGAAGGGTGATGCCTGATAGTTTTAGTACTACTTTTAATCTAGTTAGTACAGAGGAATGAACAGGGACTTTAGGAACAAGAATGCTTATGTTCAAATTCAGGCTCTTCCTTGTTCTGAGCTCCTTGGCAAGTTATTACTCTCTCAACTTCAGTTTCTAGTTTGTTAAATAGAATTAACATCATCTGTGTTACATGGTTGATGAAGATTAAATGAGGTAATAGGTGTAAGTTGTCTTGCATACTGCATGTCAGCACACGGTACTCATTCTCTTATCCATCTTGCCCCAGGACATAAAGGGCCAGATTATTCTTGATACCATAACTTTGACAGATCTCATTGATATTATACCTTACCTTGCATATATACCAAACATTTACAGTGTTTTGGTGTCTTTGTTGTGTATACCATGAGCATGACCCCTAAAGAAGCATTTCAGTCGTTAATACAATGGCCCTGGGTCAGAAAAACCTGAGCTCTGCTTATTATTCAAGGCAGCTTTGTTATTGTAGGTAAAGGATTATTTACTGCCTAAGCCATGGCTTCAGAGGTGAATCTGTAGCTACTGGCTTAAAAAAAATATTCAGGTGGCTTTATTTGTTGCCTACGCTTACGTACATACTGATCTTTCTGTGTGAAAGTGACCCTCTCCCCTGACTCAAGGATACTTCTATTCACTTTGCATGTTTAGATCAAATATACTTCCTCAAATAGCGTTTCCCACCTCTCTTAAAAGAGGTAAGACCTTATTACTTGTACTTTCCTGAACTTCCTTAAATTCTTCTTTAATTTTTTACTTTATTTGTGTATATCTCTTATCTCCACTAGGCTCTGAGTCCTAAAAGGTAGACACTTCATTGTTTCCATCTGTACCCTTACTAGTTAGAAACAGACTGGCACATAATAGGCATGTAATAGATCTTTGTTGTATCAATGTGCCTATCTAGATTTTTAAGGTGAAAGGACAACATAACACTTATAATATTAATTTCACCTGAATTTTCATTTTCTTCTCCTATGTCAGTGCAACTTAAATCTGTAACATACTTTATGCCTTCTTTCTCACATCATCTTTTCCTTGACTTCATTTGATGATTTTCTTCTCTAATACTCTTTCTTTTTTTATGTGGATTTGAATTTCTGACCTATGTCATTTTCCCTCTCTCAATAAATTCATTTAGTATTTCTTGCAAGGTAGGTCTGCCAGTGATGAATTTCTTTAATTTTTGTTTGCCTAAGAAAGTCTTTATTTCTCCTTCACTTTTGAAGAATGATCGCATGGGTACAGAATTCTAGGTTGGTGATTTTTTTCCCCCCTAAACTTTAAATGTTTCATTCTATTCTCTTCTTGCTTACATGGTTTCTGAAGAGAAATCCAATGTAATCTTAACTTTGTTCCTCTGTAGATAAGGTATTTTCCCACCTCTGGCTTCTTTCAAGATTTTCTCTTTGATTTTCTGCAGTTTGATGTGCTGTGACTAGGTATGTTTTGTTTTTTTTTAATTTATTTATCCTGTTTGGTATTTGGCCGAACTTCCTAGATCTATGGTTTAGTGTCTCTCATCACATTTGGAAATCCTCAGCTCTCATTACTTCAAATGTTTCTTCTTTTCTTTCTTCTGATTCACACTACACATTTGTTACATCTTTAGTAATTATCCCATGCTACTGGCCTTTGTTTGTTTGTTTTCTGCTGGCTTTTGGTCATCCATGTACTTTCCCCCTATTTCTACATGTGGAAAGGGAAATGGTTGTTTTGCATCCCCCACTGAGTAACCACCTGTTAACTCTGTCAGGGCCTGTGAACTACTTGCATTCATTTTCCTTTAGTCTCTTTGTGGAAAGAATTCTCCTTGGCTCACCAAGCTCACTTCTCTTCTGTTGAATATTTCTAGCAAATAAACCTCATCCAGAAACCAAACGGCAGTCTCTTATTTTATGCAGCAAAAAGCAAAATCCAAGCCTGCAACTGGTAAGCCCCAGCAGGAACAAGAACTTGGAAAACACCAGCCAAGAAAAGCAGCTCAGAACCACACACAAGAGCAGAGCAAGGGCCCCGCAGAGCAGAAGGGGAAGGCGGGCTCTGTCTCGTGGGCAGGATTCCAGACCAAGGCCGAAGTGGAGCATGTGGAGCTGTCCGACGGAAAGAAGAGAAGGAAGGTCCTGGTGCTCCCCTCGCATCGAGGCCCCAAAAATAGGTGAGATGCAGGACGGCTTCTGAGAGGGTTGGGTTTTGCTTTGCCTTTTTTCCTCTTTGTGGCTTTTGTTTGGATGAAAGGGATGCTGTGCTGTGCCAGTCCCCTATGAGGGGCGATGCACACGTGTCTCTACCCCAGCAGAGGTGTCACTCTTGGACCAAACGGAGGCCAGAACAGGACTGGCAGGGGGTCTCAGAGGATGTGCCAGGGTGAGCTTTCTTGCCATTTTTCTCCTCTTCTGAGGGGCTTCCTCCTGTCTAGATGGCCATCTCTGTCAGCCGAGGCTCACTCCTTGAGATTCCCTTCCAGTTTCTGTTTGGGATAACAGATTAGTGCTATCAACAAAAGTGGATCTTCACAAAATACTTGTTAAGTAAGTGATGGTATATGAGATTCCCCTGAGGTTTCAAGCCAAAACAACAACAACAAAAAGCAAGTGTACAAATGTTGAACCTTAGGCCATTTTGTTGCAGTATCTTTTTTTTAGCATGACTTCTCATGGGCTTAGAAAGAGTCAGTGTAAGAAAAGCATTTTATCTTCTGGGCTGAGAAAACCTCAAGGGTGCCAATTAGAGGAAGAACTCAGGGTGACACTTAGCCATATTTGTTTCAGGTTGCGGGACAAAGGCAAAATGACGTCTCTCCCTCCTAAGAAGCCAAAGCCCCAGATGAACCACTGGAAGCAAGAGAAGCAGAAATTATCTTCTAAGCAGGTGAGTTCTGTAGGGGCCAAGGCTTGGTATGGCACAGCTGGGCTGGGGTCGGCCCCCACTTTTGTGCCTTGATTAGGTGAACAAAAAGGAAAGGGCTTCTAGACTGCATTTATGTATAGGACTGCAGCTTTTTAGAGAATGTGGAGGGCACACAGTTCTAAAAGTGGGGAGAATAGTAAAATGAACCCCATGTATTGGTTACTCTGCTTCAACGGTTATCTTGTTTTACCTCTTCCCTCTGCCCTCTAAGTACAATAAAACAGACTCTCCATCACATGTAAATGTACCTCATGTGGAAATGAGGTACATTGCTCAGAAAAATATCTCAGAATGTGTCTCTTATTGGGCCTTAAACACATGTACACACAAACACATATTATGCCATCGTCACATCTCATGAAATTCAGAAGCCCTTAATATCTCATATGCAGCTCATATTAAAATGTCCCCAGTTGCATCAAAAATATTTTTCTTAAATTGGTTAGTATGACTTAGGTTCCAAACAAAGTCTACATGTTATATTTGGTTTTTATATCTCTTAACTCCCTTTTTTCCTCTCTAATAGCCAATCTTCCTAACCATCCTCACTTTTTCCATGCTGTTAATTTGTTGGAGAAACCAAGTCCTTTGCCTTTGAGAGTGCATTACATTTTGAATTTAGCTGCTTTCTTCCTTGTGTCAACCTACCTACTGGTCTTAGCACCCTTTGATGATTACTGTCTAGATCCGTATTTCAACACGAGTTGCAGAATGGTAATTTTCTAATTTTACCAATCCTTTTGCATTTTTTAAAGTAGAATTCTAGAAAAAAAGAATCTTCCTTTGTCAACTATTTGGTTACTATGAAATACCATTTGCATAGGAAAGGCAGGATAAACGCTTGATTTTGTTTTTTAATCAGTTTTCAGAGTAATGAGTTGGTGTCCTACCAACCTTCTCTGGTGACCAGTAAGATTTTTTCAGTATTGTAAATTCCTGAGTTTTTGTATACTTGATGTGTGTCAGTCAGATGCAGTCATTACTCTTGTCCCATCTGAGGCCAGCAGAAGCCCCTTCAGATTGACTCCTGAGTCTTGACATGACCCTGTCTTTGGTAGTGTCCTTGCTTTCTGGTCCCAGCTCATCTTATCTATTTCTTTCCCAGAACTGGCATTAATTTCCAAGGAGCCCTAGTTCCTTTTAGTAGAAAATGGTGGTCCTGCATTCTTGGACATTTGAGTTCAAGCTTTCTTTTTCCCTTCCTTAGTCCCTGTCCCTTTCTTGTAAGGGAACAAGAAGCATTGGCTTCTCATCCTACTCAAGAAATCTGTGTCTCTGGGAAGTCTCTGACCCCTCATACTGCCTTACAGAGAACTCTCTCTCAAACCCTGTGAGCAGTGTTCTCGGTGAGGGAAAGGGCAAGCAAGAGCATCCAGACTCGGGGCTGACTCATCTGTGAGCAGATTCTTGTGAGCGTTTGGGAGCTGGAGTGGGAGAGGCCTCTGAGACACCCGGACAGTGTTTTAGTGGGGCCCTACTCTTAGGCACTCCTGTTCTCATTCCATACCAGTGGATGGCTCTGTGTGGGTCACTCTCTGGAAGTCCCTCACGTGGTGGGCAAGATCTCTGAACCTACTTATTTTCGCCTTTGGGTGGCCTCTGGGTAAGGTGATATTGAATGCTTAAAACTAATTATCTTATGTTTCCTTACCTTTCATTTGTAGGTACCTAAGAAAAAAGCTAAGGGAAATAAGACAGAAATTCGCTTCAACCAGCTGGTCGAACAATATAAGCAGAAATTATTGGGACCTTCCAAAGGAGCTCCTCTTGCAAAGAGGAGCAAATGGTTTGACAGTTGATGATGCCATCAGACTGGATAAGAAGCTGGATCGTGTGCTTCTTGGTAAAGCACCGCCCCCCTCCTCCGGCAGCCTTCCCTCCATGTCATTTATTGAGGGAAAGAAACCCCCTGAGTGCACTGCCACTTTGTTGAGGGTCCCTCTGGGCTGTGCACATCCAAACTTTGGTCTCTCCTTGGTATGTGGTTAATCACAAAGAGGAATATCAGAAAAACATCTTGATGCTTCTTGCATATTTTGTGTGAAGTTGTGTCTATAATTCTTACTCATTTTAATTCTTTGTTTCTCAAATGGAAACAATTATAAAAAAGCATTCTTGAGTGCTAGATTTTTAAGATGTATATTTTGTTAAATGTCTTTTCTAAATGA